TAGCCTACGGGGAAATGATGACAGTTGATGTTGCCTCAACACAGACTTAGGGCCCGGGGGGGGGGGAGGTGAGGCTGTTGCTGTATGGTATTACGTCGGACTAGACTCCCAATTAGGTTAATTGTGTTGATTAATTATTGAAATTTTTGCTAAAATTAGTTATGCGTACGTCATAATCCTACAACTCGACAATAGAAAATTACACTGGGGTTGAGGATGGGGGGGGGGGGGGGTGATATGCTGACCTCCTAAAATACTGTGAGGTGTTATTCGGTGTAAGCCTGGATTGATAATAAACCAACACTACCGTGAAATAACACAATATCATCATTATAATGTATCAGCTAGTGACGTTTCTAAGGTATGTTGTAATTGTTAAAGTACACATTTTAAAAATGTAACTCATATAAAGCGTTGGAAGAATAGAATTTAGATGAGATCAAATCTCACGGTTTTTTTTTTACTTTTTTTAGCGCAATTTTCATTCTGGAGAATTGCGTTTATTAACTCGTCATTTCTGGGAATGGATGGATGAATGAATGTATGGATGAATGTGTGTCCGGGCTTTAAGTCGTATCTCCTCCTCAACGAAGCAATACCGATGACTAGTTCCAAAAGCAATTATGTTAAGCAAATTACGAGAATGAGCATAGGCCAAAAAAATTCCGGGTTTCTTTCATGTATTTCCCGGAAAAGCCAAAAAACCTCGAAAAAAATGCAGTTTTTGGCCCATATCTCGGCAACCAAACCACTTAGCGACTTGAAACATGTACCAATCGATTCCTGCCATAATTTAGAACAATATTGCCGAAGAAAGTTTTCAAAAATATCCTCTCGTTCGGTCACAAATTTTAAAATTACATAAACACCCACAAATTGATCGTTCTTCTAGCTTGAACGCACCCCAGCAATATACGTCAGAGCTATTTTTAGATAACATAAGGAAATTGCGCATAAATGTCACTAGACTTTTTTTAATTAACTTGTTTTTTCTAAAAAAGGCGTAGGCCTACTTTGTAAAAGACCTCAATGCTGATTTAGTTCATTTTTTAAAAAGGTTCGGAAGATTTTCAATTTGATTCGGCTATTCATTTTTTAACTTGACGTTTTGAGTGTTGTCTTTCTAACCTGTTACTTCTTGGGTGTTGCATATGTTTAAACTTATGTTTAAGTTTTTTTTTTTTTTTTTTTTTTTTTGCATTTATTCTTCGTGATTTTTTGTTTACTTTGAGATCAATAGATTATCAATGCTTTAGCAGCTAATTGATTCATTATATTCAGATGTACGTATAACACGAGCAGCCAACCAAATCTTTATAGTTAGGTTTGGAGCTGTTTAGAGACTTACAACATGCGGGTTAGTTCTAAGGTTAAGAGTATCTGGTTTAGGGTTAAGGTTATGGCTTTCGTATTTCACGTGTATTGACGTGCTGTTACATGTCATGCACATTCCTTAACTGACATGACAACAGTAAACACAACTTTTATTCTTGAGACTACCAAAACCACAATTTGTGCCGTTGACGGAGGTCGCTTTGACCTTGATATCCTCCCCTCTAATACTTTCTGTCTGAATTAGTTTCTGAATGTTTGCCGTAAGGGACCCAAGTATCTGTTAATTCAACCAAACCCTAACGCCGATGCCTAACTTGAACTCTTTATAACTTACCAAATTCTCTGATGTTTTATGAGGAGCGAGAAACGCAGGCTAAATAATGTACCCACTTAACGGAAATGTGAAGCTAAATTTCATGAAAACAAAAAATGCAACTTTGGAATTTGGCTGGTTACTATATTATATCTTCATTTAAATTTTCCATAAAAAGTTTTAGTCTACGTTTTTTGTTTTCCTTTAATAATAACTAACGAATTCTAAAAAAAAAAAGAAAATAAACCTTCCAAAAAAAAATAAACTTGAGCTACCGTGGAGACTGATAGCTCTGGTCAACGAGGATGAAGTGTCGGGTAGTTTGTTCAACTTTGTCACACCCCGGAAACCTCAGGTAAAACAGGGAGGGGGGGGGGGAGATATCCCAGCGGTGCTGAAAGAGGTGGCTGAGCCGGGGTGGAAGAGGTGGGTGAATGGCGTGGGTGTTGGTGGTAGGGGGGAGGGGTGAAGAAAAAAATTGGAGAAAAGATGAAGAAAAAAAAATTAAGAAAAAAATAAAACAAAAACATTGTGCCATCACCTCAGGTTTGTGTGTGTGTGTGTGTGTGTGTCTGCGCGTGTATATGTGTGCGTGTATGTCTGTATGAGACAAACAGATGTAACAACAAGAATAGAAATTGATTGACAGTCGGGTGAGCAGCGTCGGTGTACGTTGCGCGTGCCGGGAAAAACTAGACGGACGGTAAAACGGAGCAGACGACTTAGACATGCGGGTTTTAAAAAAAAATGCATTGAGCGATGCGACAACGTTTGGTTACTGAGAAAAAAAAATTGTGAGAAGTTATTCGATGTAAGTTTGGCATGAAAATAAACCATGACTAGCAGTAAGGTATCGCAACACATACCGTCGCTTCAATGTGTGTTTTACACGTTCCTTCGTCCTGATAGTTGCAGTTCTAGACTACTGTAGTAGTTAAAATATAGGTGTTTTTTATTAACCTCGTGCGTCTAGATATTCCCAGTTCTAAACTACTGTAGGAGTTAAAATATTGGTGATTTGTTTATTAACTTTCATAACTTGTTGGAAAAATATAACTTGGGATGAAATAGTTTCACATATTTTGATCTTTGGTGGAGGTTTGAAAAAAAAGTAGGCTACTTAGTACTTATGTTCAATACTGATTTAGTTTGCTATTTGGAAAAGATTGGAAAAGATTATGCTATGTTTAGCTTTTATTTTTTAACATGAGGTTTTGCTCAGTGTGTATGATTTGGATACGGTGTTTACTGTTTGTGTGTTGACCTTATCGTAGTAAGTGAAGTTCCCTTTTTGGACCTAACGCTCTAACGCTAGGCCACTCCGTTCCGCCTTAACGTATAGAAGATGGATAAATTTGGCTACGCTTGTTAATCTAGGGTAGAATCATGTTTGTTAAGATTGAGTTTAGTTTATCGTTAATGGGAGGGTAACGGTGTGTTAGCCTAGAGTTGGATTGTGTATGTTATAATTTGTAGGTTGGATTCAGGTTAAGGCTCAGTCATGATAAGAGTTACAGCGAGAGCAAGCTTTTGGTTTTGTTTTTATCTGGGTTTTTTTCTGGGTTTTTTTTCCTGTTTTTTTTTTCTTTTTTTATTATTCATTAAAAGGTATAACTTTATGTGTTCTTTAAATTTGTGTGTGTTTAAACATTGGATTTGTTGTGTTTCTTACAAATGCCACACACTTTCATTTGTTTTTACAGTAATGAGAAATCGTCCATACGTCAACAAATTAACTAGTTCTTGGAATTTTAGCAAACTTCCACCACTTTGTTTCCCTGGTAACGTTACAACAATTACAAAAGATAGGAGGGGGTGTGGGGGTAGGGAGATGAAACGATTAGGGTCCTATGCCGAGGTATGGACTGTATCGTAATGGAAGAAAGATAACTCGGCTACCGACTGTTGTAAGAAAAAATATAAGTAAACCGTGTATTCGTTTTGTAAGGTATAACAACAGTCAGCGCTGGTAGGTGATACACAGGAGCCATGATATTGTTATAGTTATTGTTTTAGTTATAACATTTATACAATAAGGTGCCATGTTATTGTTATAGTTATTGTTTTAGTTATAACGGCTATAGAATACTTCAGTATAATTACCACGTTAAGTTTCGGTGTTGTAAAAAGCAAAATCGCTAATTCTGTAAAATTGATGTAAATTGATCTAATCGTTTTGTTTGAGTTGTACCTAGCTTAATTTAGCGACTCGGTACAATTGTTTTCATTCGCTACTTGTTACACCTACGAAATGGGAGGGCCTGGTCGAATGGTAGAGCCTTCGACTGCTAACCTGAAAGTCTCGAGTTCGCGTCCCTAATTCCACTCAGCTCTGATGGGTACCTCCCTTACGTTAAAGCGAGTAAAGACGGCTGGGCATAGTGCTCACCACACTATCCCTTCAGAGGTCGAGGTTACAGAAACAGGTGAACTCTACTCCACCTGAGACATAGATCCACCAGGTCCGGAACTTTACTTTAGATCTACATAATTATGGTAAAGTGATCCAACAGTCTTGATTTGTTTCAAACTTAACCTTCAGCGCTATAGTAAACTGATCTAATTGTCCTGATTTTCTTCAGCAGGTTGAAACAGTACGCCAACCACCACAACATCTCCAATAGGACGGATACAGTTAGGACGCGTGTTGAAAAAAAAAAAAAGTTTCGGATTTTGTAATTGAAAAGCAACACGCGAGGGGCGAGTCACGGTGATGAAACGCTCTCGAACATTCCTGCACTACGGTGTAGTCTGAGGAAGAATTTTCTTTCTTCGTGTCTGTTGATTTTGGCTAGTAACCACAGCAACAAGATACTGAGGGTATTTTTTTTTTATTTAAAAGAAAAAAAAAATAATACGAAAAAGGCAGTTACTTTTCGTTTCTGCCATTTTTATGACCAGTTCAGAACAATCCCCACCCAACAGGCAGGTAGGCGGGGACTGCTTTGTTCCTCTTTACCTGGATTAAACCGTTTGTTCCGCTTGATTTGACGGCGGTTTTTTTTTTATAGGGGGGCAGCGAGCGAACCGTGACGGGATCGCTTTCACCGCGGTCAGCCAATCGGCGTTGAGAATGGGCAGCTTCCTGTGTAGACGGTGCCCGTGGATGGGAGAGGAGTCGGTGGTCGTCAGGCCGCTGGGGGACGCTCACAGGCCCATGTAACGCGCACACACAGTCGACTTGAACGTGGAAACTAATTTGAGATGTGTCGTCACACTATAGCCAAAATGTTATAAAAATTCGGCCAAAATTTCCCAAAAAAAAAAAATAATAATAATTTAGTAATCAACTATTTCTGTTGGAGTTTTGTTGTGAGATTTTAATTCAAGTCAATTCAAGTGGATTAAAAAAAAAGGAAATACCGTGTTACTATTTTTAAATTTGATATAGACGACCACTTAGCAAGATTCGGTAGAAACGTTATCAGCTATGAAGCGGTCCCATTGGATTTGTATAGCATACGGACTTGTCATATTTTATATTTCTTTGCTCTCTGTGGACGGAGTACGGTGGATGTAAGTACCAAATTTTCTTTTTTTATTAATAAAATAGATTAATTGTTTTTATTTACCTAAATTTTTGGTTTAATATTGTTTATTACTAAGTTATTCAACTAAGCTTAAAGTAATTTGCCTACTACTTAACCTTCCACTTGAAACAACTTGTTACATTGATTAAGGTGTGTAATGGGGAATAGGGGAGGGGAGCTAGAAATGTTAGACAAAAGGTAAATAGTCAACAGCTTTACAGCTACTATGTAAACAAATTAGAATATAGATCTACATCTGGGAACATGCACATATCGCACACATCATATAACACAAAAACTGGATATCTATATCCACTCTCCCCTCATTTCGTGATTATAACACTCTCACAGACCACCACCCCTCATAGTAGTTTTGTTCTAGGTACCCCCAACCCGGATTCTACCTACAGTGACACTATAAAATGATGTATTTATGTATTAGTACATTATAGGAATAATATTATAGTAGAGAAAACCTCTTAGGCTGCAAGTTTTATAAAACATTTTTTGTTGCTATAAAGTTTGCACTAAGGCTTCACATAATATTACTGGTACATATTGCATTAGCACCAAACATAACATAGTAGCACTTGCTTCATATTACATTTGCACCAAACATAACATAATAGCATTTGAGACATACTGATTTAGTACCAAAAAAATAACTTAGTAGCACTTAGTACATACTGATATAGCACTAATGCTTAAAATGTTGCACATGGTACATACTGAGGTAGCACAAAGACTTAACATAGTAGCACATGGTACATACTGAGGTAGCACCAAGACTTAACATAGTAGCACATGGTACATACTGAGGTAGCACCAAGACTTAACATTAACATAGTAGCACTTGGTACATACTGAGGTAGCACAAAGACTTAAAATTAACTTAGTAGCACATGGTACATACTGAGGTAGCACCAAGACTTAACATTAACATAGTAGCACTTGGTACATACTGAGGTAGCACCAAGACTTAACATTAACATAGTAGCACTTGGTACATACTGAGGTAGCACAAAGACTTAACATTAACATAGTAGCACATGGTACATACTGAGGTAGCACCAAGACTTAACATAGTAGCACTTGGTACATACTGAGGTAGCACAAAGACTTAAAATTAACATAGTAGCACATGGTACATACTGAGGTAGCACCAAGACTTAACATAGTAGCACATGGTACATACTGAGGTAGCACCAAGACTTAACATAGTAGCACATGGTACATACTGAGGTAGCACCAAGACTTAACATAGTAGCACATGGTACATACTGAGGTAGCACAAAGACTTAACATAGATCTAGTAGAAAAATCTACATACTTGTCTGGCTGTAGATGTTAAATAAACACAAGACGAGTTTAAAATTCCAATACAAAAATAAAACAAATTGTGTGCCAACATTTCTCTCCTATTCAATGTAAATGTTTGTCTATCAAAGTTTTTGTATTTTGAATTAAAGCATGATTGAGACTCTTCCAAAACATACTGAATAGCTATTTCTCTTAGAATTTAGTATTTTCAGCTGCTGTGAAGAAGCAAAAGACATTTGTTTACACATAAATAAAAAAACAAAGTTTAGTAGGCCTATAATAAAATTTAATAGAAAAAATTAATTTAAAATAACTCAACATTCCGAGGCTTTTCACGTGCGTTTGATTACAAAAACACAACACAAAATAAATTCACAAAATGACCAAACAATAACATTGAACGTTTGGAAAAAAAATAAACATTGCCGTCCGTCCATCCATCAATCCATCCATCAATTCATCCATCCATTCATCCATCCATTCATCCATCAATTCAAAGCTTGTTTACTCTTGCTTGAACTGTTGTTATTGGTGGTTCCCATCACAGACACCTCGATAAATTGTTGACATTCCTGTAGCTAATAGTATTATTTTAATATTAGAAGGGTTCTTTACGTCTGATTTAAGAAAGGTACCTGCATTGTTTTCGTAGAACATAAAGTTTAAATACCTCACACGATCGCTGCTTCTTCTGAGATAAAAAATAAAATAAAAGGATCTGTACATTTTATTTAAGTTTAGGATTAAAAATAAAAATATACAATAACATAAAATTCAAGCCTAGCTGGATATTCAAAAAGCATTGTCTATCTACTCTCCTTTCTCTCTCTCTCTCTCTTTCTCCATGTCTCTTATGTTTATATAGGTTATGTGAATATTCTCTCTACACACACACACACACACACACATATATATATATATATATATATATATATATATATATATATATATATATATACGAGACATCATTAATTTACTATTTTACGTGTCATATTTATGTTTTAAAAACAAGATCCCGTACTATACATATTGTTATAAAGAGTCCATAAACCCAATATTTATCAAACAACCCGCGACGCTGACTGTGTTGACGGAAACAATTATCCCAATCGAGACTGAAACGGCCAATATTTGAAAACCTATGATACTAATCAGAGCCGGTCACAATGGGACTCGAGGTGTCCGGAGCGAGTGGTCTTAGTGCGGATGAGCGGACGGCCGGTACACAACCCTCTCCCAAACAAACAACCATTCGAGCGGCCTGTCAGTGTTGAGTCAACATCAGGGGCCGTAACCCGACTTCCGTCTGGAGTTCAACAAACGAGGCTTTGTCAGGGAGGGTCCGTTGTTTACCGTTGGGTCACGTGGGTCGGTTTGCGGTGAGACAAATCTGGGGGGAAAAAAGTGTTGCAGTTTTGAAAATTAAAATTAAAATTTAAAAGAATAAATAAAAACTTAAGAATAGAAAATGACATTTTTTTTTTAGATCATTCCATTTTTGTTTTGAGGGTATTTAAAAAGCCCATTAACATGTCGTTTTAGTTGAGAACAATTATTTATAATTGCTGTTAATCAGTGTTTCTTTCAGAATTTTTTCACTCGGTGGGGGGGGGGGGGCACTTGATATATTCGGGGAGGGGGAGCGGACACTCGTAAAAGTATATATAAATTACATTTCCATTCCATTTCGTTGGGGGGGGGGGGTAGACTTTCTTCATGGGGGAGGGGGTAGACTTTCTTCGGGGGGGGGGGGGGGAGAAGACACCCCCTGAATCGATGTCTGGAAGAAAATCTGCTGTTTATTGTTATTACAATGGGGGGATCAATATTACAAGTCTAAAGCACAAAGTTTGTGATTTCGAATAATCAACAAACGCAGTTCTGTAAATTTTTTTATTTAAAATGTGTCAGCTACTAGTTCAATGAAACAAACTGTGACAGCCGTTTGCTCATATACGACAGGCCCATTTTAACTTGAACGCAATGACAACGCCCACATACATATATAGTGTGTTTTTTAAGTTGTCAATACCCATGTCCTAGTCCTATAAATACCCATGTCCTAGTCCTATCAATACCTATGTCCTAGTCCTATCAATACCCATGTCCTAGTCCTATCAATACCTATGTCCTAGTCCTATCAATACCCATGTCCTAGTCCTATCAATACCCATGTCCTAGTCCTATCAATACCTATGTCCTAGTCCTATCAATACCCATGTCCTAGTCCTATCAATACCCATGTCCTAGTCCTATCAATACCTATGTCCTAGTCCCATCAATACCTATGTCCTAGTCCTATCAATACCCATGTCCTAGTCCTATCAATACCCATGTCCTAGTCCTATCAATACCTATGTCCTAGTCCTATCAATACCCATGTCCTAGTCCTATCAATACCTATGTCCTAGTCCTATCAATACCCATGTCCTAGTCCTATCAATACCTATGTCCTAGTCCTATCAATACCTATGTCCTAGTCCTATCAATACCCATGTCCTAGTCCTATCAATACCCATGTCCTAGTCCTATCAATACCTATGTCCTAGTCCTATCAATACCTATGTCCTAGTCCTATCAATACCCATGTCCTAGTCCTATCAATACCCATGTCCTAGTCCTATCAATACCCATGTCCTAGTCCTATCAATACCCATGTCCTAGTCCTATCAATACCCATGTCCTAGTCCTATCAATACCCATGTCCTAGTCCTATCAATACCCATGTCCTAGTCCTATTAATACCCATGTCCTAGTCCTATCAATACCTATGTCCTAGTCCTATCAATACCCATGTCCTAGTCCTATCAATACCCATGTCCTAGTCCTATCAATACCTATGTCCTAGTCCTATCAATACCTATGTCCTAGTCCTATCAATACCTATGTCCTAGTCCTATCAATACCCATGTCCTAGTCCTATCAATACCCATGTCCTAGTCCTATCAATACCCATGTCCTAGTCCTATCAATACCCATGTCCTAGTCCTATCAATACCCATGTCCTAGTCCTATCAATACCCATGTCCTAGTCCTATCAATACCATGTCCTAGTCCTATCAATACCCATGTCCTAGTCCTATCAATACCCATGTCCTAGTCCTATCAATACCCATGTCCTAGTCCTATCAATACCCATGTCCTAGTCCAATCAATACCCATGTCCTAGTCCAATCAATACCCATGTCCTATCAATACCCATGTCCTAGTCCTATCAATACCCATGTCCTAGTCCAATCAATACCCATGTCCTATCAATACCCATGTCCTAGTCCTATCAATACCCATGTCCTAGTCCTATCAATACCCATGTCCTAGTCCTATCAGTCTATCTCAGAAATTTAAGACTTACGTTATAGTTTACGGCATAAGTTTAAGGCGGTAATGTCATATTTTACGGCTATGGCGACATAGTGTAAGCTCGATTCTGTATGCAGTATCGTTATGATTCTGTATGCAGTATCGTTATGTTCTGTATGCAGTGTCGTTATGATTCTGTATGAAGTATCGTTATGATTCTGTATGAAGTATCGTTATGATTCTGTATGCAGTATCGTTATGATTCTGTATGAAGTATCGTTATGATTCTGTATGAAGTATCGTTATGATTCTGTATGCAGTATCGTTATGATTCTGTATGAAGTATCGTTATACTGAAGCAACGAC